ACGTGCCATTGGCCATCGAAGTGGTGAAGTATTTTCTTCCATTAGAATAACGAGAGCTCCTATTTTAATTGGACTCTGCTGGTCGTGTTTCCATTTACGTCGTTGTTGCTTTTGTGTCAAATATTCATGCGACCATCTACTCCAATAATGCTGGAATAGCTGCTGTAACCGTTGGTATCGTGACAATCGTGTAATCTTGATTTCTTTAAGATCTGCTTGTGAAATCGCAGCTAATGTTTCACCGATTATGAAGTGAGCCGGTGTGAGTGGTAAATAATCGTCAGGGTCATCGGAAAGAGGAGTCAATGGACGTGAATTAAGACATGCCTCGATTTGTGTTAAAACTGTTATCATCTCTTCATACGTTACATTTGCATTTCCTAATATTCGAACTAAATGAAATTTAGTCAAACGAACTGCAGACTCCCATAGACCTCCCATATGAGGCGATCTAGGAGGAATAAAATGCCAAGTAATTTTTTCGTGTGATAAAAAATTTGAAACCTTCTCATTATGATCCAAATTTTGAGTTAATTCGTAGAGTTCACGAAAATGATTATGAGCACCTACAAAATTGGATCCATTGTCCGAGAACACATCACTTGGCTTGCCTCTCCGCGATATAAAACGCTTTAGTGCATTTATAAAACTATCAGTGGAAAGATCGTTTACTAGTTCAATATGAACTGCGCGAGTTGCGAAACATACAAAAATACATATGTATGTTTTTACCAATTTGAATTTGCGTAAAATTCCATCTTTCACAAAAATTGGTCCGGCATAATCTATGCCACACTTGGAAAATGTTCTACTGGGTATTACTCTAGCAGTTGGTAAATTCCCCATTAGAAAACTTGTAGGTTTTGGATTTGCCCTGAAACATCGTACGCAGGACCTGATTACACTCTTCACTGCATTTTTTCCATGAATGGGCCAATATTTTAAACGAATTATTGATAATACATTTTGTGTCCCAGCATGTAAATGTTTCAGATGTTCGTGTTTAATGATGAGTTTTGTAAAAATATGTTTACCGCATAAAATTATGGGAAACTGGTTTTCGTAGTTCAGTAGAGAATTTTTCAATCTCCCTCCTACTCTAATAACACCATGTTCATCTAAAAATGGATGTAAAAAAATTAATTTACTATTATTATTTAATGGCTGTGATTTCTGGAGAAGTCTGATTTCCTGTGAAAACTGTTCATGTTGAGCAATCTTAATTAAAGCTGTAAGTGATATTTCGAGTTCTGAAACTGATAAAATATTTGTCAATGTCTTGTTTTTTCCCAAAGTAATGTTTTTGAATTTGAAGCAATATGCTACTACCCGTTGCAATTTACTTAGCGTTGAATATCTAGTAAAGAGATTAAATTGATCATCCCGAACATTTAATAGAGTTAGTTTGATGTCTGGTAATGATGAGATAGGTTGTTCAATAAAAATATCTGATTCAGATTCCCCGCTGAATATAAAAGAAGGTCCCTGCCACCAAATCTCCAACTGTGAGAGTTGTGCTGGATTGATACCACGTGAAATAATATCGGCCGAGTTATGCTCCGATTTTACATGTCTCCAATTATCCTTATCTGTTAATTCGTTAATTTTTATTACCCTGTGTGCTACTAACAAATGGTTTAAGTTGGCTAGGATCTATTTTTATCCATGAGAGTACTATGGTTGAATCGCAATAATAAACTATTTTTGAAATTTTAATTCCCAGAGATGAGATTACATTATTTGCAAGTTTTGCTAATAAAACTGCAGCTAATAATTCTAGTCTTGGTAATGTAACTTTTTTTATAGGTGCAACCCTGGATTTAGCACATAAAAGATGTGAGTAATAATTACCGTATTTGTCTATTGATACTAAATACAAGCACGCACCGTATGCCTTTTCAGAAGCATCGCTAAAACCGTGAATTTCAACGCGTGTTGCCTCTTCACATACTACATGTCTGCGTATTTTTATATCGTGTAATGATTTTAGTTGTTCTACAAATGTGATCCAAGAAAGACGTAGTTCTTCTGGCAATAGTTCATCCCAACCGAGTTTTAATGTCCATAACTTTTGTATTAATATTTTTTGTTTTATAATGGCTGGAACAATAAGTCCCATCGGATCAAATATTTGACTAATTATTGAAAGTACGTGTCGTTTGGTAATTAGTGTAGGAATAGATTTTATGTTTACCGAATAATGCAGTGTATCTGAAATCGAATTCCAGACCACACCCAAGGTTTTTAACTCCTTGCCTTCGCAAAATTGAACCAATTTTTCATCATTATTTCCATTTCCTAAAATATCATAAAGAATGCGTTGATTATTTGATGACCATTTCCTTAATTGAAAACCTGCAGTACTAAAAATGACTGTAAGCTCTTTATATAATTGCAAAGCTTCTTCGATGGTATCTACACTAACTAACAAATCGTCAATGTAAAATGAATTTTTAATTATTTGAGCTGTTTTTGGATAACTTTCTTCATTATCAATTGCCAATTGCAGTAAACAACGTGTACTAAGGTATGGCGCACATTTTGTTCCGAAAGTTAATGTGTTAAGAGTGTATGTCATGATAGGCTGTTGTCGTTCATATCGCCATAAAATTTGCTGATACTTTCGATCATGTGGATGCACTAAAATCTGCCTAAACATCATTTTACAATCGGCGTTTAACACAATTTTTCTGAGTCTTAACCTAATGATAATATGGAATAAATCGGACTGATCGGTCCCATGAGCAACCGGTCGTTGAGTGAAATATTATTGCTAGTTTTTACTGAAGCATCAAATACTACCCTACATTTAGTCGTAGTACTGGATTCTTTTATTACTGCATGATGCGGTAAAAAATGCGATATTTCTTCGATACTTTTTGAGTTATTTGTGTTAGGAGACATATGACCTAATTGTTCATATTCCAGCATAAATTTGTGGTACTCATTTTTGAGATTTTTATTCCTTTCTAATCGCGATTCGGTTGCATGAAATCGTTTTAAGGCTATTGACATTGAATTACCAAGTTCATCTATCTTATCTGAAAATGGCAATCTTACAATAAATCTACCTTCTGCATTACGTGTTGTCGTTTCTTTAAAATATGTTTCACAATACTGCGCTTCTGATGTTAGTATTTGTTTTTGTGGCAATTCCTCCACTTCCCAAAACTTTAACAAATTTTTATTAAGTGTTTCGTTTGAAATTTCTGTGTTAAGATTACAAATTGATCTACGTACTATCGCGTGGTTGAGATTAACCGTCCCTGACAAAATCCACCCGAGTTGTGTCTTTTGCAATGTAGGTTTATCCTTACCTAACTTTATTTGATCGTGACATAATAAATCATAGAACAAATTAGCACCTAATAAAATATCTACACTTTTGGAGATGTTAAATTCTGGATCTGCTAAATTCAGATTGCGTGGAAGTACAACATTTCTAGAATCAAAACTTACTAGAGGCAAGTTTTTAGTTATGTTTGGTACGACTAAAAATGATACTCTAGCTTGAAATGAATAAAATTTTGATTTGATATTTGTGGTTGCTTTTTGCGTAATATTAGTAGATGCTTGATTAATACCTTTGAGATGTAAACTGAATTCTTCGAGATTTAATTGCAATTTATTGCATAGTTTTTGCGTGATTAAATGACTTTGACTTCCAGAGTCTAATAAAGCGCGACATTTGTGTGGCCGTCCAAAACGGTCGTCTATGAAGACTTCTGCTGTTGATAGTAAAACTTCGGTTTGGCAAATGCCTGTAAATGAATGATATGTACGAGTAATATTTTGTGATTCGCTTGGTTGTTGCTGTGATGTTTCACTATTTATAACCTGCATAACTGATGATTGTGCTTGATGGATGTTTGCAGCTGTATCGTTGCGAGCATTGTGAGATGTGTTGAACTTATGGGCATTAAAATTGTCATCATGTAATAACGTATTGTGAGATTTGTTGCATTTTCTACATTTACTAGAGTGACAAGAGTTTTTGAGATGTCCTGAGCGTAGGCAATTGCTACATAATTTCATTTTTCTGATCTGTGAGAATTTTTCCTCTGTGGGCAAATTTAGAAATGCATAACAATTGTAAATATAATGATTATTTTTGCAATATGGGCATAAAATGGTATTCGTTATAGCAAATGAATGTTCCCTATCCTTAAAAGGCTTTGAAAATTGGGGTAATTGTTTGTTTGGGATTGATTTTGTGTTGTGAATATTTGTTTGTGAATGATTATACAAAGTTTCGAGGGTAAAACATCTTTTTGTTAAAAATTCTATGAATTCCTGCAATGTGGGAAGAGAATTTGTTGGTAACGAATTTTCCCATTCTTTCTTCATTGCTTGATCGATTTTGGTTGAAATAAAATAAATGATTAATTGATCCCATTCCTTCGTGTTAACATTTAGTTTTTCTAATGAGCTCATGTGTTGGAAAACACTGTCTAGTAACTTGCGTAATAAAATATAAGAATCCTTTGTGACTGTGGGCAATTCGAATAATGATTTTATGTGACTGTTGACAATAACACGTTTGTTTTCGTATCGTTTCTTGAGCATATCCCAAGCTACGTCATAGTTATCTGAAGTAATTTCTAATGATTGTACTAGACGATGTGCATCACCCTTTAAACAACTTTTTAAATAGAACATTTTCTGTATTTTATTTAAATTTTTGTTTTCGTGAATCAATGATGAAAATGTGTTTTCAAAGTTTACAAATGTATCATACGAACCATGGAATTCTGGCAAACTCAAGCGAGGCAATTTGAGATTTGTGACTGAATCCACTTGACAGTTTTCGTGTACACCTGTTTGAAGAAATTGATTACTACCCTCTGGTGAGGAAGTCGTGCCTATTTTAACATTACTTATTAAATCGTTTCGCAAGCGACATGTTTTCGAAAAACGAATTTTCAATCTGATCGCGATCAGCTGATTCGTTTTGATCAAGCAATTCTAACTGATTTTGAATGATATTATATTCCTGAAAATCGGATTGAATTTTATTCAATCGTAACTGTAACTGCGTGATATCTTTCCTGTTCTCTGGTTTATTGAGAAAGGTAACAAATCGTGTTAATGATGCCTTTATAATAGCCCGTGAATGTCGTAATGATGTTATTTCTTTTCCTGGCTCCATCATGAATATATTCAAATGAAATTGTTCTGCGTAAATAATAAATCTATCTAAAAAAAATCAAATGTTACGTATTTGGAATGAATTAAAATGTGCAAAAAGAATATGATAATATGAGAACATAAACATACAATAAATCGAGATATGTCTCGTTTACCGGAATCCAATTGAAGCAGATCACAACTGGAAACTCACTGTCGATTCTTAGATTGTTAATGTCACCTTCTATCCACGGCATGCAAATTGATTTTCCATGCGTTACTGCTGCAATATTTCTTACGAATTCCAAACTGTATCCACTTGCGAATGATGATAGGTACTGATTGATGATCTTGCTGGTGTCGCACTAGATCCGGCTCGAATATGGCCAAAATTATGTATTGTTTGTTGTGTCTCGAAGGACCACTCCAATTAAGGAGAATAATATCAAATTTGTTGAATTAAATGAACTGTATTGAAATTTTTAATGGTACGTTGTGACATTTCTATTTGTATTCAAAATAACAAACTCTAATAATGAATACTAGATTAAAATTAGTGCAAAATTGCACAGTTGGTCCAATGAAAATAAAATAAGGCTGTACCGTTCGCCCCTTTTGCTATGCTGCATCTGCCTTTTTCTTCATTTCAGAGTCGACATCTTCCGCATGCTGATAATATAAAATCAACAATGTAAAGAAATGCTATAATAGTTACCAAAAGTACCTTCACATGTAGAAATATTCCATGCGTGCTTTCCAAGGTAGAGAACTCCCAAGTACTTTTACCCACTCTAGATTTTCCTGTAGGGGGCACAAATTGGTTCAGGAGATACAACTGAGCAGGAACATTATTATCACCTGTAAACAAAAAAAAGGAATAACAGCCTTTGATTATAATAATTTCTTGTTGATTGTGTAATGTTGTACAATGGTACCAAATTATTAAGTTTTTTTTATCACAGCTCCCTTTCATATAAAGTGTCAAACATTCAATAAAAATCTTACCTCCCTTCGCCACAATGTCGATTAATTCTAATACATAAAGATCTCGTAATTCATTTTTTGGTTTCAGTATCAAATTTGTTATAAATGTCTGCCAGTGTATATATTGTTGTGCAACCCCACTGAGTTGCACTGCGAATTTTTTGTGTAGGACTTATGACGAAATAATGGAAAGAATGAAGTTCGGATTGAAGTTACGTTTTATTTCGTACACATTCATTAGGTAATATCTTCCACACACAGGTTACATGCAGGTTACAAGTTTTACGTTTTTACCATTTCGAAGTTTAAGATGGACTGCCTTTAACATAATCACCTTACCTTTAGTTTGAATTAATGGAAAGTAGTTTCAATAAAGTAATTATAGTCATTTGTAAAATGGTATAGTGTGATTACATAGGACAGTCCTCTATCCTACTTTCTAGTATAATTCCAGAAAATGCTGAAAGTCTTATCTTAGCTGAAACAGGTTCGTAACAATATACATCACTAGTTATCAAGGAAATCAAATATTAAGTTAGATATCAAAGCGATTAAATGTGAAGATTTCTAGGGAAATCTAGTGCATTAAAGGCACTTCCCATAGTCAACTGTATGCAGGTGCGATAGGTGGATAAACCGTGTGAAGCGCGGTTTATCACAATATAATGTAACGTGATTTATAAATTCGGGTTCGATTTATATCAATATTTATTAAACAAAACTAAAACACTATAAAAACCATACAATTCTGCTGTGTTAAGACCAAGTGTCATATCTGCAGTTTTGCACGTTTTCCAGCTAAGGGTATAATCGTAATTATTACACCAAAATACATGTTTTTTGTTAAGCAAGTTTTGTCGTAAGTGCATTCCATACCTCACAAAAGTAAATTTAATTTTTGTCGTAACTACGAAATCACCATATATGTTAGAGAACATTGGCGTATCTGACATTGTGACATGAAAATGTCGTATCTACATCAGTACCTGTAGATACGACAATCATCGTTAACACAACTCAATAGTTATGTTGTTCCGCTTGTTAGAGTTAATGATCGTAAGTACAAATCGCATGCGCATTTTGATGATAAACAGCCGGTTTTCTGAAGTTCATAACCTCACATTCAGTTAGTAAGGTGTTCTGTGATTATTTATTTACTTTAATATACTATTGTATGTAATTATTGCAGATTTGATATCATGAATCGTACTAAAAAGATACTCTCAATGGCATTAAATAAGGAATTGTCTGAAAAAATTAATAATTACAGAAAAAGTGCACCTAAAAAAGAAAAGATTGTAGAAGATAAAGATTATTTTCCGTACATAGAGACAAAAACGAATAAAATAGTTGTTTTAAGTGACATTCTCATTAATCCCTCGAATATTGAGAAAGAACCTGTAATAGCAACTGCAGACAATTCTTCTTGTCCTTCATTAAACTCGGATACGGAAAGTTTTAGTTGCAAAATTGCTAGGGAAATGTATGAAACAATTTTAGACAAAGTTTTTGACAATGTTAAATTATCCCCCTTTCAAGACAGTAACAAACCAACAGTCACCATTATTGAATCAATTGTAGAGGATAGTGTAGAAAGCTCTGTTAAAGTAACTAATTTAGGGTATACAAAGAAAGGCGAAGTTAGAAAACGGAAACAATACGAAGCATCTCTAGAAGAACGAAAGAAGGTGAAAATAGATAATCATGTAGCGGCAAAATGTGTGTCAAATCTTGTAAAAAAATAGATACAGAAAGACGACAAAGTATTAATAATCAGTTTTGGAAGATGACTAAGAGTGAACAACAAGCCTTTACCGTTAGCCACATTAGTCAAAATTGTCCAAAACGCAGAACTGTACTGGTATCAAAATCTTTACGCTCACGTAGGTCTAAAACAATACACTACCTTCTGTCGGACGAAAAAGGAGTGTCGCACGAAGTATGTAAATCCTTTTTCTTGGGAACGTTAGGTTATGAGCTTAAGAATGACAGAATAATAAGAAACGCAGCATCAGTTCTCGAATCTGGTGGTATTAAACCACCACCAAGTAAGAAAAACAAAAATCGTTCTCAAAAACTCGACCGAAATGTAATTATTGACCACATAAATTCTTTTAACCCGACCGTTGCACACTATAGACGCGAGCATGCCCCAAAACGTCGCTACCTCCCCAATGACATCACCATCAAATTGATGTATGAGGACTTTAAAATTAAACATCCGCACATACATTTTTCATACTATTTGTACAGGGAAGTAGTGGCGGCTCAAAACATTTCTTTTGCTAAACTTGGGCATGAAGAGTGCTGGTCATGCGAGGAATTCATTACTCATACGAAAAAAGAAGGCCACACAAAAGAAAATTTAGTGTTAGAATGCAAAAGTTGTGAAATCTTCAACAAACACCTACTAAAATATAGAAACGCTCGCAAAGAATACCAACACGACGCTGAGACTGCAGATACCGACAAGTATGTTTTTACCGCAGATTTACAAAAGGTAACAACCAATTATCTTAAATTTTCCAATATTTTGATTATTTTTGTTATTCCAGGTGATTATGTTGCCTCGATGCGACACATTTAAAGAGATGTTGTTCACCCCACGGATAATAGCATTTAACGAGAGCTTTGTACCTGCAGTGTCAAAAAGTAGGCAAAAAGATGTGGAAACAACTGCGGTATTATGGCACGAAGCCATAAGTGGGCGTTCTAAAGAAGACCTTATCAGTACGTTTTATACCTTTCTTTCTTCAGTTCGAGATGCAGAATACATTATTCTTTGGCTTGACAACTGCAGCGCGCAAAATAAAAACTGGTGCCTTTATTCATTCTTTATCTACTTTATAAACTCGTCTGAAACTGCGCTCAAGTTGTTGGAAATAAAATATTTTGAACCAGGGCACAGTTTTATGGCAGCTGACTCATTCCACCATATGGTGGAAAAATCATTAAAACGTATGGGAAAAAGTTTATGACTTTAATGACTTTTCAAGGGCAGTTAAAAATGCATCAAAGAAAGTGAATGTCATAGACATCGAACTTCAACATTTTTTATTATGGAAAGACCCACACATCACAACTCAAAAAAACCACCCCAAGACCTTATTTAAATGATATTGTTCAAGTCAATTTTGAAAAAGGCAGTATGTTTTTGAAATATAAAATAAATTTTGACCATCCATTCCAAACTCTAAATTTTTTAAGTGCAAAGGTAATGAAACAAGGTATTCCGAAACCAAAATCAAAAAATACCCCTAGAGGAATTACTCTTGAAAGAAAAAATAAAATTATTTCGAAGCTAACAACCATTATGCCGGAAAATCGCAAGATCTTTTGGCAGAACTTACCTGTATCAAGCCAAGATACTAGTTTGAGCGACAATGATGAGTCATAACTCATTAGTGTGAAGCAGCGAATTGTGTTTTATTCATGATAAGTAGGTTTATTAGTAGTTTAATGGCATGTTAGAATGTGTACTCATTTATTTGACGTTGGTCAAATGTATTCCACACACTATTCCACGGATGCCATCCTTATCCTTCGACAGAATTGTTTGTCCTCGGTACATCATCTAGTGTTATTTGGTAAACACTCCACATCGAAAAAGGATACTGTGGAGGACGACGTTGTCTTCTATTTGGACGACCGAATAAAAATCATATACCCCATTTATTTACACGTTCTTGAAATAACATTCCTATCTATTAATTATATTGAAATATTTCGCATTTTTAATATCGACGAATTGTACTGTCGGTGAAATGCCATATCGGTAAATTGAAGTCGGTGATTTGCAATCGGTGAACTTTCCGGAACCCGTTTTTTTTACATAATTAGTTTATTTTTTATTTATTTATTTTGCCTTTATGTTTGAGTGGGCGGCGTTTCAGCCAATGCTGCTCTACCAACCCAACCCACTATACATTTACAAATATCCATGCCCGAACCCGGATTCGAACCAGGGACCCTAGCACCACAGTTCAGCTTTAACTGAACTGCGCCACGCGAGCCGGTGAGTGAAGACTTTTTTACATCATATATATAATATCGCAGCAGCTCTGAGACTCAAATCCTCTATTATTACAGCGGATAGGGCTCTTTTCATAGCATCTTTCGAAAAATCACGGTTTGTCACCTTTTTGTAACTTCGCGACATACCTAATCCTGAAATAAAAGAATGATTCGCCCTATAATTCATTGGAGGTACTTTGGACATACCATGGGGATGGTTTGGACAGCTGTCCAATCTATCCTCATATTGCGAATGATAATAAAAAAATTCGTAAAAATATTTTGATCTTACTAAGAGCTGTATCTTTGGCATAGAATGCAAGGCCCATGATATAGTTACTTACCTACCCAAATAAAACAGTTGCAACAGCTCCAACACTTACCACACAATTGATTAGAATACTACTGCCCAAAGTTATAAAGAAATTTTTATAAACACACACAACCTTTTTATAACTTTCGTTGAATGCACTTTACATACCCGTATGGATATTTACTATAAAGTATGACGCTTGGGTCATCTTTTGTATGAGTTTGAAACGTTTAACTGCAATAGGGCGCGAAATACAAAGCTGTCTATTGTATCCCCGTGTCCATTCTATCCCCGGTCTCCCCTACCTGTACTGTTGTTCTCGTCTGTGCGACATTAAAACAATCCTCCAGGAATGACAATAGTTTGTACCCAAACCAAATTTTCCGTTCAATCTCGTCGGCTCCTGCACCGGATTTGTTCATATCAGCGTTTTTTTTCTAGTACGTCGAAATTGTGCAAGCATTACGTTTATTTTGCGTTCTAACAATGATTGGCACATTCATTATGTCACCAATGCTTTTCAGTGCATCATGTTTTTTATTGCGGTTTTTGTAGTCTTTGTGTTTGGTATTCCACACCACGGGTTTGCTCTCTAAATAGCTGTGCTGGTTGTTCAATCTTTTCCTTGTTGCAATGATCCATACTACAAAATTACAGCAAATAATTTTATCAAATTTAACCGTTAATCCTGGACCGGCCGACGCGACTGTAGAGAAAAAACGATCAAACTCTGATCGAACCGAGAACAAACGAAAGAAACGTATCGTTTCAAACTTGTTTAAAAGTCGGTGTGTATACGCATGAACATTTAAACTCGCAAGTTTGTAAACCGGTTTGCAACATGTTTGAAACACGTTTGAAAATCGGATTTTGGTGAATA